TCACTCACACTCACTCTGTGTCGTTGTGCGCAGATCACCGGGACACCGCTGGAGGCGCGCAAGCGCTTGCAGTTCAGCCTGCCGATCCACCCGGTGGAGAAGGTGGCGCTGCTGGCCAACGTGCCCACCGCCCTCGTGCCGCTCTTCTGGGTGGAGGAGGTGCGTTCAACTCGCAGCCGCGTCGGATTAACGCTTTGCTACTCGAGTCCGGTCAATTTGATCCGAAGGCAAGGGGGTTGCTACATCTCGCAACCGCTTTCAACTAACCCTAAACGTCTGGCGTGGAGTCAATTTGATCCAATGGCAAGGAGTTTTAGTTAACCCTTTACTGGTGTGAGGTCACTTTGACCCGAGGGCAAGAAGGTTCAGTTAACCATTTACTGGTGTGAGGTCAATTTGATCCGAGGGCAAGAAAGTTCAGTTAACCCTTTACTGGCGTCGGGTCAGTTTGACCCGAGGGTAAGGAGTTTCGGTTTACCCTTTACTGGCGTGAGGTCAATTTGACCCGAGGGCAAGAAGGTTCAGTTAACCCTTCACTGCCGTGAGGCCAATTTGACCTGAGGGCAAGGAGGTTGGTACATCACTTTTAATTATCCCTTAACTACTGGTGTCGGTCATTTTGATCCGAAGGAAAGAAGGTTTGTAAATCTCGTAACCGCTTTCAACTAACCCTTAACATCTGGCGTGGAGTCAAGTTGATCCAATGGCAAGAAGTTTGGATTAATCCTTTACTGGCATCGGGTCAATTTGAGGTTGCTACATCTCGAAACTGCTTTCAATGAACTCTTAACTAATGGGGACGGATCAATTTGAGCCGTGGACAAGATTGTTGGTACACCTCTAAACACTTTCTATCAAACGTTTATTTATAAAGAAAATGTTTATGCCTTGAGGCCGTTCTAATGATCGAGGGGCGACGAAAAGTTTTGATTGATTGGTCGATTAAGCGATTCCGGGCGTGTCATCGGCTAAGGCCATTAGTCCCGTAACCGTAGCGAATGTTTTTATCACGGGATGTGGCGGTCTCTCCCCAGCTGCATTGAAACCCGACGCCGACGTACACGTCGGCTTGGAGGGTTTCCCTAACCAGGTATCTCCAATCATTGAGGTGCAGCCCCAGAAGGGTTACGCTCTAAGCTTCGAGATGTGTGATAGAGTTGTGCATGTAAGTGTATATGCAAGAAGTATGACTGGAGATTAGAACGAGGCAGAGGAAGGAAAGATCGCGAGCGGTCCTTGACCCGTTTGTTAGAGTACTGCTCCGGCATTCGCCTAGTGTTAATCGGAGAAACACTGACCTTAGTAGTTGATACGCCCGAGAAACATCAATCAATCAATCAAAAATTGTACGCCCGATGACAACGCTGTTTTGGACATCCGACCGGGTTCGTTGTTTTCATTGCCGACTTGTGCTTTGTCCGCAGGGCCTGGCGCTGCCCCAAATGTACGTGGACCAACTGAAGTCCTCTCTTTTCCGCGCCATGAAGATCATGGGCATCCTCAAGTGGGTGATGATGGCGGCCGGAGTGGGCATGGGAGGCGTCGGGGGCTTCCTGCTGTACAAAAAGAAACAGGAGCTCGCCCTCAACTCCATCAGCATCAACTCCAACCCGTCCAAGGTGACTAGCGTCTCGACAGTGAACAGCGATTTCAACGGAATGCCCAAGTTCTAGACAACCGATTAGGGTCAAACCCCTTCAAGGTCTCCAGAGACTAATCAGTGAACAGCGATTGAAACGGAGTACCCAAGTTCTAGGCAACCTATCAGGGTCCAACCGCTTCAAGGTCTCCAGAGACTAATCATTGTGCATTGATTGAAACGGAGTACCTAAGTTCTAGACATCCTATCAGGGTCCAACCCCTTCAAGGTCTCCAGAGACTAACTAGTGAGCAGCGATTGAAACGGAGTACCCAAGTTCTAGGCACTCGCTTTCGACCAGGGTCCAACTCGTGCAAGGTCATATGCGTCTCAACCGGAAATAGCGGTTTATACGAAATGTCACAGTTTTAACCAATAGCTTTCGGTCAGGGTCCAACCCGTCGAAGGACATTAGCGACTGAACAGTGAACAACGATTTCAACGGAATGCCCAAGTTCTAGACAACCGATTAGGGTCCAACCTCTTCAAGGTCTCCAGAGACTAATCATTGTGCAGTGATTGAAACGGAGTACCTAAGTTCTAGGCAACCTATCAGGGTCCAACCGCTTCAAGGTCTCCAGAGACTAATCATTGTGCATTGATTGAAACGGAGTACCTAAGTTCTAGACATCCTATCAGAGTCCAACCCCTTCAAGGTCTCCAGAGACTAACTAGTGAGCAGCGATTGAAACGGAGTACCCAAGTTCTAGGCGCCCGCTTTCGACCAGGGTCCAACTCGTGCAAGGTCATATGCGTCTCAACCGGGAATAGCGGTTTAAACGAAATGTCACAGTTCTAACCAATGGCTTTCGGTCAGGGTCCAACCCGTCGAAGGACATTAGTGACTGAACAGTGAACAGCGCTTTAAAAGGAATGCCTGAGTTCTAGGTAACAGCTTTTGGCCAGAGTCCATCCCGGTCAAGGTCACAAGTGCCTGAACAGTGAACAATGAATAAAACGGAATTCCCATCTTCTAGACATACTGTCATCCATGGTTCAACCAGTCCAATGTCCCCAGTGTCTGAACAGGGAATTAAACGGAATGACCAAGTTCTAGACGACGGCTTTCCGCCAAGGTACTACCCGTCGAAGGACATCAGCGTCTCAACAGTGAACAGCGATTTAAACAGAATTTCCAAGTTCTAGATCGACAATAAAAACAGTTCCATGTGAATATTGTTCGTGCAGACATTAGAGAGCTTTAGCAACAATCGCCCTGAAAGAGTTCTCGTTTAGGAAACAGATTAAGCATTACTGTATTCGTAACTGATATTGAGACTTCACCGCGACGCAACAAGCTGCCCGCAAAGTGCGGAGTGCGGAAGAAAGTGGGAGAGGAGTGTGCGAGAGAGATGACACGAATATTTTCGGGGCATTGATGCTCTGAATCCAACTCATTGAGGAGGTGTGGACTAGACAGAAAATGCCCACTCTTCCCACGCCACAATTAACCAACAAAACAAAAGTCAATCGGTGAAACATCCACTCCAGAGATACTTTATATATTCATGTATGTCGATTGTCTCGCCCTTATTAGACGATACAATTGGCATACTTGCCAGGCAACGTCGTTAAAAACTTTAACATCGTCGACGTGAATGTGACCAGTGTGTGTACCAGGTACTTTTTTTAAAAAAACGTCTTCTAGATATTTGATTTGCTAAAACTCTCTATTGTCATAGAAATCGTCTTACTTGACGAATAAGAGTTTCCGCTCTTCACTGTTGTCAAGAAAAATTGTACGACTTGACACCAAGGCATCATACCATTTAAAAAAACCTTCATGTTTCGTTTAATAAAATATTTCAGTTTGGTGATTTTTAATGGCTTCGGTTTTGAAATAGTCCCAAACACGTTTCCTACATTTAAATCAAATAATTTCGAAATTAATGAAAATGCTTTTAAACTTATGTACATGGAAGTTTTGTCAATTCTTTTCCCTGGCACGATAAATTTAAAATTAAGAAGACGAGAAAAGAAATCTCTGTTCTCTAAAAAACTCGCCGTTGCTTAGACTACAAAAACGTGAAACAAGTGTAAAAAGTTTCAAGAATTATGACCATATGTTAAAAACAAGCCGAAACTGTTTTATTCGCTTCAAGCAACATGTTTGCTGAAGTAATAACTATTTGCCCTCACAATTGAATCGATTTTAGATGCTTCGGTTTGATACCTTCATTCAAATTTAGTGATAAGAGATCCTGAGTCAAGTTGCATTTGTAAGAGCATTTAACAATGCATGTTCAAACACTACGAGGCGCAGAACTGACGACAACAAACGATGACAATGCAAACACAAAAATTCAGTCGAAAAGGTTAGCACTTCAGGGCTCATTCATTTTGTTTAGATGAGGCATCCATTATGAGAGCACCAAATATGAGGTAAAATTTGTTGCGTTGATATCGTCCTTCCGCGCGAGGAAATATTGGGAATTTTATGTGTCATAGTCAAACCCGTAACAAGCATTAGAAGAATTTTAGAAAACTTCAACATGCAATGAGAGGGAAATGATGAAATCCTAAACCAGGGCTAAATGCTGAGCGTAAATATGCCACAAATTGTAATAAAACATTAGACTAGGCAACTTGCGATACATCGGTATCGCAACAGATCACGTGACCTATTCTAGAGACGGTGAATATGTCCATTCTAAAACTTTGTACGAGCGATTTCTTGTCTTGGATTGCAGGCTTGTAGTACTTACACCAAAAGTACTTCAAATACCCGAGGGGATCCGTGAAAGAAAATTCGTTGCATATGGATCGATCGTAAATATTTTACATGTGCCCAGCATGCGGATACAGAAGATTGTGAGGGTTTACTTGCTTGTTGGGTCATAGGCTGACACATGTACTCCGCACTGTGATGTATGGAACTACAGCTACAATACGTTTCATGACACGAGCGTTACTAACAATGATCGCAAATTCAACTTGTGAAAAAATGTAGACTGATCATTTGTAATTATTAAAATAAACTTAACACGGACAGTTATGGAACAATTGGTACAATTTTGTGACACTTTTATGTTGTATCTATTTTGATATTGTGAACTGTTATTTCATGTATGTAAGCTATTTGCGTGTATTTATTTATAGAGTTACGTTCTTTTGGGATTACCAATCAGAAATATTTTATTTTATTGCTTATTTGCATTATTATCTTAAATGTATTCACGGCATCACAAACTTGTCATGATTTAAAACATTACGTGTTTAACAAATTGAATACAAATTCAATTTAGTATTTGTGAAAAATAAAGTTTTAAACTGAAAATTGTTCTAAGCCATAACATTATTTCTTTTAACCCAATGGTCATCTATCGGTCGTATAACGTTACGGTCATTTGTAGCAAGTTTAACAAAGCGATGTTTTCATAATTTTGTGCTATTTTTTACGTGAACATTTTTACTGCAATAGTAACAAGAAAATTACTATGTACTTTGTTAAGATTAATATTTTAATGATCTGGAGTTACACCTAAAATCGGCTTGTAGGGGATGTAAAAGTCGTTCCCGCCAATAACCGGACATACATAAGCATTACATCGCGTATAGTTTGAATTAAATTACTTTGTGTTTGACAGTTCGGAATCAAGTGGTATGAAACACGGCTAAAACTAATCAGAAGCCTTCCCACTTTCATATCGACGCCTCTCTGAAACTGAAAGAAAATGCTGCTTGTGATGCTTCTGTTCACTCACATTTTTATATTTAAAACAAGATGTGATGCAGCTTGCTGTGTTTTTACAAGTTTTATAGAGTAAACACTAATTTTATTTTTTTAAATCGAAAACTTAATCGAGCTTAGCTGCCTTCAGTTGTAACTAAATTTAATAATTGAGTAAAAAATTAAAATATCACAGCTTTATAGAAGGTATTAAATCAAGAAGTGCTATAAGATGACGAGCGGCTAGATAGCAATAAATTTGACAAAAATAATAGTTTGATATGTTTGTAAGTAGAATGGTTGAAGACTAAACCTGGTCTACTACCAGTTCTGTTGGAAAGTGGTTGAAAAAATAATGGTGCTAAGAGAGGGGTGCGCATAAAATTATGTACTTTTACTAAAGGACAACAATATAACTTGTTTCGAACTTTGATTCAATTATTAAAATAATTATGATTGCAATAATTAATCCTTAGTGGTGTATAAAGTAGTTTCTACAGTGGTGTATAAAGTAGTTTCTTCAAAGTAAATGTTACGAACTTCTAGAGCATGAACAGAGTTGTAAAATGATTACATTTTGCCAAAGAGCTTGTGGTGTGAAGTTTTATATAACTAAGTTAAACATGTGTCATTATATGTAATATGCTACACATGTGACATTACACCCTGATTGTCAGGCTCACTCAATGCACAAGTGTTCGGCAGGTCTCGTTCTGATGCCGTCAAAACGTAATTATACACCTCATTATTTTCAGGCGTGAATGACAGTACATTTTAATGTACACTCCCACGTACATTTTAATGTACAGTTCACGGACTCGTAGAAGGGGATTGTGTGAACGTGGCCAGAATTAGTTATTTACCACTGCTTTCTGTGAGTGTTCTTGAAACATCTCCAGTCGTAGTGGGAGTTTATTCATGATCGATAACTATTTATAGGTATTGGCTATGGAGCGGATTTCTGTGATTTTTGCATATTTTTGTCCTTTATTTGGGTGCATACATAGGTGAAATTTCATAACATTTCGTTAGAATATGATGATATATAGATTATTATGTTAGTGCAAATGTGTGTATATTTATCCAATTTTTCCTATTGGTGCATATTCATGTAATTATAGACACATATTTTGTTAAAATGGACATAGCAATAAAATGTTTCATATTCTCATAAGATATATTTATTTGTGAACGTTCATTGATTTGAAAGAGCTTGTCACTGCATTTGTTTGTTTTCAATTGGTGATAAAATAATTGTGCAAATGTAGGATATTTCTTGATGACATATTTTTTTAATATTTAATGCACTT